AAAAAAAAAAGTTTGCACAAAAGCAAGCCAGAGGACATTTATTCCTCTATTGAAGCCAGGTACGTGTCACTTTTGAAGATAATTATGCAAAAGGATTTTGTAAAAGGCCACAGTTCACTTAGATAAAGTAGAATATTCTGTGACAACAGAGGCCTCAAAAGCATGCCTACTTACAGTAAAAGGTTGAATGCATTCAATCATTAATTTAAACAGCAAAACTAATAGCTAAGAAATGAATTCAATTTTTCATGACTCTCTTAACTCCAACTTTGATGTGTCAAATGAAGGGAAGGAGCAGAAGTACTTGGAAATGGTGTCCACATACACAGAAGATGCTAACATGTATGGAATCAAACACTGTGTTTGGTACTTTCTCAAATACCTTCTCATTTAATCTTCCCAGCAATGCACAGAATTAGATTACATTTGTGTCCATTTTTTTTTTTTGCTTGTCTCGATTAGTGATTTATCCAGAATTCAAATCTAAATTTAAATCCTGCAAACCATAATTGCACTACATCCCTAATTCTGCCTCATCACATTTTTTAATGTGGGATTATGGAATTAAATTCAAATGGGAGTTCGTTGCTACAAGCTGCTTTATAAATATCCTTTTTATAAAACCACCCCCAAATAAATATACCAATTATTTTTAATTATTATGGATCCCACTCCCATTGGGAGTGATCCAACAGCACCTACCATGCATGACTTCATAACAAATGAGAACCTGATGTCTTAGGTCAGTAGCTTCAGAACCCAGTGCACTGTTGGGACTTAGCGAGGTCCCTAAGCATAGCTTTCCTGGCTTATCTCTTGAGCTTGTATTGTAGATGGATTTCTTTCATAGGTCATAAACAGGGACTTGGAATACATATAGCACATAATACCAGGAGAGGATTGGTTTTTGCCCGACACTCCTCTGAAAGTTGTCTTGGTTCAGACAATACAAAGAGAAGCTGCTTTTCCACTAGAGCCTTTAAAGTTTCTGTTGTTGACGGTTAGAGTGATAGTCTTCAGAATAGAAAACCTTGTGTCTTTCGAGATGTTACACATCTGAAACAAAGCTGTGGGCTGTTTTTACATTTGAGCAAAAAGAGCAACAGTGATAAGAAAGCGGGATCCAAATATCTTCAGAAGCTTACAAATGTCTTCTGAGTGTGGCTTACAATTGATAGCTCTGTTTTGAGCTCTTTAGTTTTATACTATAGCCTTCTCTACTTCCCCACCCTCCAAAAATGTTGAAAAGCAGAGAGACAAATATCCCTTTTTTTTTGCTTCTTGACTCCGCATGCAATCTGTTGAACATACCCCAGTATTAACAGTAACTTACATAGCTGGGAAGTTTATCATCTCAGCCGCTAGAGGAAATGTGAATGGCTGAGACACGTGGCAAGCTGAGGGCTACACTTCAGTCATTGTTTGAGACCTAATCTTGGACAATGAATCTACTCTGCTCAGACTAAGAATATTCAACATTATTTTAGGCATCTGCTATGCCATGATGTAATAAGTATAATGGCTGAAAAATTCTAGCATCCATCCAGAAGCAACTTCCTTGGAATGATCAGTAAATAACATTCTCAAAAGCTTAAAAGTAATCCATCCATGGTGCTATTTTTAGCATCCTTATGATTTCAGACTTATTTCCAGTTGTCTACACTTGGTTGCTGAAAATGATTTACTGTCCTAAAAATACATTGCATTTGTAAGCTAATGCTATAATTTTGTCACTTAAATCCTGATAGAAATTTAAATTATGCAGATAGATACTAAAGATTTGTTCTTATTTTGGGGAGTTATGAAATTTAAAATTTCTAGTTATAGGAACACAATGATTAGTAATTTTGGTAAAACACCACCTTGAGGTGTGGTGCAAGAACTAAAGCCTTGTAGTGTTCATTCTCATGAATCTTAAAATTCATTAAATTCTATGAGGTCCAACTGCTAAACCGTTTTGTTTACAATTTAATTTTAAGGAAACTTATGTAAATAAGTGAGACTTCTAAGCCAGGAGACAAAAAAAAGGACAGAAATACGGGCAGTTTCAGTAAGAAATATGCAATAAAACATTTGAAACATATAAAACATCTAGGAACCACTGGTACAAAAGAAACCATGTGGAATGAAATTCTGAAGCCAACTCTAGAAAAGTGAATGGTATCTTCATTATGCTTTCAAAAGAGAAGCAGAACATAGAAAAACAAATTTGTAATGTTAAGAGCCTCCTGAAACAGTATACTGTACATCTCCAATGCAGAATTACATCAGCCTTAGCATCCTATGAAAGAACTATGCTGGCTGTTTTCTGTCTATTGAAGCAAAAAAGAGAACACTGTAGATTTTTTTCTTAACAGAATTAAAATTTAAAATTACTGGCTAAAGTCAATAACTCAAATCTAATTAACCAAAATGCTATTTGTACATCCTAGATAATTAAAGTTGTTTCATACAGGAACTATTTTTCCTTATAATCATGTAGGTATGATATCCCGACTACATTTTTTCTCCTTTAGCTTATAAATACATTCTTATAAGAATAAGAAGGATTGATCTGTTCATAAGGATTTCCTGCAAATAATGCATGTGTTTTGTAATGCTTCATTTCTATTCCAGTGTTTCCTTGGTTATTCTGCCTCACTTGAGAGGAATGTGCAGATAATTTCTATTTTGCAGCAGGGGTGTCGATACTTTTTATTTACTTAGATCAACAGCAGCTTTTCCTAAAGGATGGTTTAATGCAGTGGCTCCCTAAGCATGTAGCATTCCATCACCTATCCTTCATCTGCTTGGTCCTGCTGATTCCCCTCTGTCCTCTCCTGCTGCTGCTACATCCCTTCATGTCCTCCTGCAGGTGTCTCGTCTCGTCCGTCTGATCTGGTGTCTGTCTCGTCCAGTTCACCCTGCAGTTTCTTCCTGTGTGTCTGTTTGTAGATGAAGGGGCTGAGGATCAAGTGGGTCCTCTACACAGGTTCCCCAGCCATGAACCTGCCACCAGCGGGGAGAGGCGTAGACTCCTAGCCCCCTCCATTTCGGTGTCTGTGCCTGATGATGACCCTTACAATTCCGATGAGGAGTACTATGAGCATCCCTTGTTCAGCTCAGAATGGACCACTTCTAGTGTGCTCCCCAGTGTCCCAGCGCAGAGTGCAGAGGCCCACTTAGGCCAGGAGAAAGGTGAACCAAGCATGGTGCCCTTTTGCTCCTCCTCAGCCTGCAGCTTTGTCCACATGCATCCTGTTCGGTGTGCCTTCGTGTAGGGGCGGGAGACAGAAGCCTGTTTTTTCCATATGAATGCGAAGTCCCTATATAGGTGTATAGATCCAAATGCTTCAAAAATGCTATAAAAGAAGACATGTGTGCACTTCCTTTTTTATATCATTGCTTCTGAGAAGATGCAGAGAGAGAGAGAGAGAGGACAAAAAAGCTTAACTAAAACATGACCCATTTCCACTACTTTCAAGTAAATCAGTAAAGAAGAACATATTTTTTACTCAAACAATAGAAGATGACCCTGAAATTTTTTTCCACCTTGGATCCGTGGTGTTTCTAAGACCAGCCTTAAACAGAATTAGCTTTCTTTTAGTGACATGTTAACACAATCTCTCTTTGAAACAGATTAAACAGTGAAGGATCTGTTTCAAGTAGAATAAGTGTTACGGCAGCAATTTGTTTCCCCTTTTCACTTAATCGTCTGCAAAAACCACAGAGGCTTCCCCAGGTACCTAAATCTTGGTTCACATCAGAAGTGCTGGGTTAAAGGGAAGGAGCTGACTGGGAGCCTTGTCCTCTCAGTCTCATGAAGACGGGAGACCCTAGTGTATAACAAGCTGGGGTGGGAATGAATGATTGGATGTTGGTTTACATCTTGTCTCATGCTAACTAGTAATTTTGCAACAACAACAACAAAAAAAGAAAGCTTAAAATAATTTTGCTTAGGTGAAAACAGCATTTTCAAATGGTGGAAATAACAAAATGCCAACTACATTCATGACAATAAATTTCTTCAAGAAACAGTTTGACAACAAAGAGTTCTAATGGCTGAGATACTTTGATAAAGAAATAAACCTAAATTGAGTGAAAACTAAGCTCTTCTAACAGTGTGAACTTTTCACATGTGAGAATTTTTGAATGGGGAATAGGTGTAGTAGAAATAAACAGGATTTTACAAACTGAGAAAATAGAAAGCTAAAAAAGTTATGTGGATTTGGAAACCTTTAAATTCACTTGATTAGAGTGTTTTCAATAAGGCAACACTAGTAAAGCAATTTAATTATATTAAAATTAAATTGTAACCAAAATCTGTGCATTATAAAAATTTTCTCAATAGTAAGTTAAACCTGGAATTTTTTAAATGTTATTTACAAAATTAAATTGAAAAATTAGAAGTTTCTTAGAGCCAAATATGAAGAGATGAAGTAGTTTTTCCCATCCCCCAGAGCATTAATATTTCTTAAAACAAAAATTCCTTTTCTTTTCATCTGTAGTCTTTCCCATGGGACCATTTAAACAATGTGCAACTGTTTCACAGAAGTGTCATAACAATTCTCTGCTTGCAGAACTAAACTCTGTATATATTCTTCTTTAATTTCTTATGGGATAAAATTGGATTTTTTGGTGTTCTTTTTTTTACTGGTACTTGAAGTGTAAATGAAGAACAAATTAATACAGTAATTTAAAACCTTCATAAGTACATTGTACATGTTTTAGAGGCTAAATTCCCCCTCTGAAGTATATTTCAGAAGTTATTATGGTAATTTGGTCACCACTCATTTATCTTTCTTGAGTGATTTTGTTATGAATTGCAGAAATAAAATATTATTACTAATATGCACATTGTCTTTCTTAGTATCAAGGAGAGCTATACAGGAACTATATTCTTGATTAAACAACATTATGACAATTATGCCCCAGAGTCAGACTTTTGTAAATAAAATTTAAATTTCACTTTGATCTTGTCTTTCAAAATATTTTAACTGCTCCTTGAAATTCTTCATTTTCTAAGCTATCTCATTCAGTGAAAATAATACAAATTGCATTAGGTAGTCTTTTACCTTGGAAATACTAAATAAATTACATTTTAAAGTTTTAGTGGATTTTGTGATAATATGGTTAAGGTAATTGATTAGCTCTTACCTGGAGGGAAGGGATGCTTTTGTTTTTTGTTTTTAATTCCCAAGACTCTTCTGTAAAGTTTGCTCATTTTAAATAAAGCAAGAAGAAATTCCTATGTAGGGGCTTCCTGCAATGGAGAAAACAGCACATGTCTGACAAATGTAAAGGGTTTTTTTCAGTGCATCAATACATCTCTCTGTTCACAACCATCTGTTACCTGGCACCATATCTTATTCCCAGCAAGCTTTCCACATGTGTGCAACTTGCTGCCATTTCCACTAAGAGTAACCTATCAATAAAACCCTTTCAGCTCTCAGGTTTTAAAATAAATAGCCTTTTCGTGAGACCGTAAAAGTCATCACTATCAACAGACTCGACATCATAATTTTCCAACCAGTATATCATGTATGTTGCATCATACTGTCAATTTGCGGATCCAAATGGTAAAACATATCTGAGGTCCTGGTAAACCATTCCAGTGGAGCTGAAAGTGTTCCTTATATATATTTCTGTCCTTCTGTGTATTGCTATGTGGTCATGATGTCAACATCTTTTTCATCCCTAAGAAGAAGAAACTCTAGAGGGCCCGATGGCTGAGGAAGAGAAACCAGCTGCTCTTCCTGGGAAAGAGTGTGGGGCTGCTAAGTCCTCAGACCAACCCCAGGGCCTCAGTGAGGGCCAAGTGGAGTCTAGTACGGAGGCCCAGATAGTTCCGGAAGAGAGTGCGCCCCCTGGGGCTCCGCATGAGAAAAGTGTAAAAGAGGTCACAGAGTTGTCTCCAGAAGTAAAAACCCCTTCCTGTGCCAAGGAAGGTGTGTTTCTCAGGATGTGCATGTGTTTAATGCAAATGATCTCTCCAGCGGCTTACAAACCTGGCGCCTTTCCAAAGCTGTTTCATCTGTGGGTCTTCTCATAATCACGAGACCACCGTTTCAGCCTTCATGAGCAGAGTGTTGCTTGCGCAGGTGCTGTGTGGCAGCTTGGTTGTCCTCTGCTGCAGCTGATTCTTGGTTGTCCTTTGCCATGATACAAGACGCTTTGCGGCAGGCTGATGATAATGTGTGAGCTTTTGAGTTTCCCTCCCTCCTCATTTCAGATGTTTGCCAGTCACATTGCTAATACATGTATATTTTTGTTTTGGTTTTTTGAGATAGCAACTCATATGCTTTTCTTTTAAATCCTACAATTGGATTTTGGCACATAGAGGCTTAAATAATAGAATCGCTTTTATTTGCAATCGCAACCTGCTGTATTTTTTTATGCTTCAACAAGTACTGGTTTGGTTTCTTCAAAGCTCCTGTTGATGCTTCTCGTGTCATTTTCTCTCCGTGGCAGCTGACCCCTTTGGTCACCCCCACATCTCTTGAGTTTTCATCCATCTAACCTTTATTATACCTTCATAAAATATTTCTCTTCTATTATTACAACAGGACACACAAGCATATAAGGTAATGATGATCCATACACTTGCTCTAGAGATGGTTGAAATTTGTGATTTTCCCCAAATCTTTTCCACATAACTGCACTTAGCTCTAATGATCACTGTGAAATATTTTGATCTTAAAACACAAATAAAGCTTTAAACCCTTTTCAATTGGTGAGTAAATAAAGTAAGAATATGTTACTTACTTTCTGTAAAGTATCTTTAAAGCCATTATTGGTCAGTACTTCTCCAGTTGGTCATGTCCACAGGGAATGAGGTCATGACCATAAGGAGAATGATATTCAAAAGCTCTATTACCCACGTGACTTGCCAAAATTAATAACTTAATTCAGATAGTCTCGTATCTATCTGATACAGATAAAGCAATGTTTAGGTAATAAAAATATTGAATATGAGGTACAAACTGCTTTGTTGATAATCATATAAATTTGAAAGCAAATATTTACTTATATTCCCAAAATTTAATCTTGGATAACTTCTAAAACTTTACACTAGTAACCTTTTAGTGCCCCTCAAATTGGCCCAGGCCTCTGTTGATCAGGTTATCTGAAACTATTATTTCTTGTATCATTACTAATTACTTGGCATTCTGTCCTGGGCTGCCAATTCATCCTCAAATGAGAAAACCTGTGAATGAATTCAATAGAAATCAGTCTTTATCCATATATAGTCCTTAATATATATTTTATATCCTTAACCTCTTAATATGCATAGATAGATAGAGAGATAGATAGAAGGCACATTTTCTTTTCTAGTATAATACACATCACATGTTTAGGACACACCAGACAAACAAAAATTAGACAAATGAGTATTCTGAAGTAAACTCTTCTTACAATTCCTGTACATATTAATTTACAACAGTTCATTTTACTAACAGTACACATCTATCTCAATTCTGACGTTTTCATAATTGATTTTTACATGAGTAGCATGCTTGCATGTTCCATATTTTTTCATTTCTCTACCATTCATTTATCATTTCAAAATATAATTTTAAGCTTACTGCCTAAAAGCACTTGCCTATTATTTGTTTAAAAATCAACCCGATTGCTTCAGATTTACTTACAGCCTCGAAGATGGAGTTCCACGATCATCAGGAGTTGACTCCCTCAGCAGCTGAGCCTGTAGACAAGAAAGAAAAGGAGTCAAAGATGGAAAGTAAGCCTGGTGAAGACCTTAAACATGCTGCCTTAGTTCCTCAGCCTGACACAGCTCAAACTTCCCCTGATACAAAGGACATGCAAGGTACAGAGAGAGAAGAGACACCTCCTGCTCTGTTTGGGCATCCTGTTGGTGCCACCCTTGAAGACATGAAATGGAAGGGAGAACCAAGCTTTGTAGTGCCTGGCATTGGCCTCCCTGCACAGCCTCCAACCCCCAAAGAGCAGAAAGACTGGTTCATTGAAATGCCAGTGGAAACAAAGAAGGATGAGTGGGGTTTAGCTGCTCCAGTATCCCCTGGCCCCTTGACACCCATGAGGGAAAAAGATGTCCTGGAGGATATCCCAAGATGGGAAGGGAAACAGTTTGATTCTCCTATGCCAAGTCCCTTTCAAGTTGGAAGCTTTACTCTTCCTGTAGATGTAATGAAGAATGAAATCCTAACAGAAGCATCGCCTTTTGAGTCTGGCCTCTTACAACCAGATAACAAAAAATCACTGCAAGAAATCAGTGGCCCACTGACTGCCAAAGATAGTTCTAAAGTTGAAGAACCACAAAAAGATAAACCTGACAAAGTGGCAGAAACAGCAGCCTCAGAGGCAATTACCTTATCCAAAGATCCCCATTTTCCGGTTATGGAAGGATATGTTATTGAAAAAGTTTTAGGGGAAGATAGAGGCACCCACAGTGGACAGGAACCTACACTTACTGAAAAGGAACTTCAGCCAACGCTTGAAGAGAAGACATCTATTTCTGACAAAGAAGCTGTACCAAAAGAGCATGAGCCCTCAAAATTGAGAGATGAAGAAACAGGCATAACTCAGACGTCCACTGAGCACACTTTCTTGAAGGAAGCACCTAAAGGCCAAGAGCATATTACAGATATGTTAAAACAGGACTCCTTCCCTGCAGATTTGGAGCAAGCAGTGACAGATTCGACCATGACCTTGAACACCTTGGAAAAAGTCTCCACTGAACCAGCTGCACTCTATGAAAAGAGTACATTACAAGAACTTTTTCAGGAGAAAGTTGCTGACAAAGATAGTAAGGCAGAAGGAGTTAGTGCTGCACCATCAGCAGAAATCAGCATGCCATTTTATGAAGATAAGTCAGGAATGTCCAAGTACTTTGAAACATCTGCCTTGAAAGAAGAAATAACAAGAAACATTCAGCTGGCCAGTGATTACTACGAATTACTTGACACAAGAGAAAGTGCCCATGAGTCTGCTAATACTGTATCTGTCATGCATGAAAATGATGACAAGGAATTACAAGCAGGGAAAGAATCCCAGCCCAGTAAACCAGAACAGGGAGCAGGGTATAGCACTCTCACACAGGGTTATCCATCCAATTTGCCTGAAGAACCTAGTTCTCCTCAAGAAAGAATGTTCACTATTGATCCAAAAGTATATGGGGAAAAAAGAGATCTCCACAGTAAGAATAAGGACGATTTGACACTCAGCAGAAGTTTAGGACTTGGTGGGAGATCTGCAATAGAACAAAGAAGCATGTCAATCAATTTGCCAATGTCTTGCCTGGATTCCATAGCTCTTGGATTTAACTTTGGCCGAGGCCATGATCTCTCTCCTCTGGCTTCTGATATTCTCACCAACACTAGTGGAAGTATGGATGAAGGTGATGATTATCTTCCAGCCACCACACCTGCAATGGAGAAAGCCCCTTGCTTCCCAAAAGAAAGCAAAGAGGAAGAAGAAAAGACAGAGGAAGAAAAAGCTGCTGGGCAGGAAAATACTCAAATTGAGACATCCTGTGAGTCGCCTTTTGTAGCCAAAGATTATTACAAAAATGGCACCGTCATGGCCCCTGACTTGCCTGAAATGCTCGATCTAGCAGGCACGAGGTCAAGACTGGCTTCTGTGAGTGCAGATGTTGAGGTTGCCAGAAGAAAATCTGTCCCTTCAGAGACTGTTGTTGAGGAGAGTAGTACTGGCTTACCACCTGTAACTGATGAAAACCATGTCATTGTGAAAACAGATAGTCAGCTGGAAGACCTAGGCTATTGTGTGTTCAATAAATACACAGTCCCACTTCCATCTCCTGTGCAAGACAGTGAGAATTTATCAGGAGAAAGTGGTTCTTTCTATGAAGGAAGTGATGATAAAGTTCGAAGAGATTTGGCCACAGACCTTTCATTGATTGAAGTAAAACTGGCAGCTGCTGGAAGAGTCAAAGATGAATTCAGTGCAGAGAAAGAATTATCCTCACCTACATCTGGTCTGGTCAGGGAGTTTGATCAGGAGAGGAAAGCAAATGATAAGCTGGACACTGTGCTAGAAAAAAGTGAAGAACATGCTGATTCAAAAGAATATGCCATGGAAACGGACGAGGATGGAGGTAACATGGACACATTTGGGTTAGGAGTATCTCTTAAACCAAGTTCCGCCAAAGCACCAACAGTGTCAAAAGATGCAGCATCTGAGAAAGCAGAGAAGGGTCTTAGTTCGGTGCCAGAGGTAGCTGAGGTAGAACCGTCACAAAAAACTGAGCAAGGACTGGATTTTGCTGCAGCTAAAGAGGATGAGGGCCAATTAGATGTTGAAATCAGCGACTTTGGGCAGATAACTGCAAGGCTGAATGTAGATTCTGGAAAAGCAGCGGAGCTTAAACTTCAGAGTGTGCAGGAACTGGCACTCTCATCCGAAGCACCTCAGGAGGCAGATATGTTCCTGGGTGTTGAGGCTGGCCACGTGAAGGAAGGTGCCAGAGTTAGTGAGACAGAAGTCAAAGAAAAGGTGGCCAAGCCTGACTTGGTGCACCAGGAGGCTGTGGACAAAGAGGAGTCCTATGAGTCTAGTGGTGAGCATGAAAGCCTCACCATGGATTCCTTGAAACCTGATGAGGGCAAAAAGGAAATGTCCCCAGAATCATCCCTGATCCAGGATGAAATCGCCATTAAACTGTCCGTGGAAATCCCTTGCCCACCTGCTGTTTCGGAAGCTGACTTAGCTGCAGCTGAGCGAGCCGATGTCCAGATGGAATTTATTCAGATGCCAAAAGAAGAAAGCAAAGAGGCCCCAGATCTATCCATCACACCTTCCGATGTTGCTGAGCCGCAGCTTGAAGCCGTCGTCTCTGAACCAGCAGAGGCTCAGAGTGAGGAAGAAGAGATAGAAGCCCGGGGAGAATATGATAAACTGCTCTTCCGCTCAGATACCCTCCAGATCACTGACCTGGCTGTGCCAGGTGTCAGGGAGGAATTTGTGGAGACCTGCCCGGGCGAGCACAAAGGTGTCATTGAGTCTGTGGTGACCATTGAAGACGACTTCATCACTGTAGTGCAGACTACAACCGATGAAGGGGAATCTGGGTCCCACAGTGTGCGTTTTGCAGCCCTAGAGCAGCCTGAGGTAGAAAGGAGACCCTCCCCTCATGAGGAAGAAGAGCTTGAAGTGGCAGCCGAAGCCCAGGCAGAACCTAGGGATGACTCCCCTGAGGCTCCAGCTTCCCCTGAGAGAGAAGCTGCGCTGTCAGAATATAAGACAGAAACCTATGATGATTACAAAGATGAGACCACGATTGACGACTCCGTCATGGATGCTGACAGTCTCTGGGTGGACACTCAAGGTGTGCTCTTGTTTTGTTTTGTTTTATCTTTAATTTTCTACTCCCAAATCCAATCCAGTAACGTAATGGGTATTTAAAGAAAAAAACATTTTAAAATATCCCTTTATCTCTTTATTTTGCATTTTGTGAAGTATGCGAAGGATTCTGTACGTTTGTCACTAATGTTCTCGCTGTTGTTGTTGTCATGGTTTGCTTTGATCCACAGATGATGATAGAAGCATCATGACAGAGCAGTTAGAAACTATTCCTAAAGAGGAGAAAGCTGAAAAGGAAGCTCGGAGACCATCTCTTGAGAAACATAGAAAAGAAAAGCCTTTTAAAACCGGGAGAGGCAGAATTTCCACTCCTGAAAGAAAAATAGCTAAAAAGGAGCCTAGCACAGTCTCCAGGGATGAAGTGAGAAGGAAAAAAGGTTCATTTAACAATCACTTCTTTAACAATGTTTTTGAAATCATTCGTTTTACTTGTGTGTAGAAGAAACTGCCTAACAGTGGTAACTGATTACTTACAAAATTTTCGTTTGGTTTTGTTCCAACTGTTTTTTTTTTCTCCTGATGGTATGCTCTTTGTGTTTTCTTATTCATAGCAGTTTATAAGAAGGCTGAACTTGCTAAAAAAACAGAAGTTCAGGCCCACTCTCCCTCCAGGAAATTCATTTTAAAACCTGCTATCAAATACACTAGACCAACTCATCTCTCCTGTGTTAAGCGGAAAACGACAGGTGACTGCTCAGTTCTGCAATGTGGCTGGCAAACATAGATGTGTATTTCTTTTCTTTTCTTTTTATTTATCTCATTACTGTAGCAGCTTCTTCATTTTACTTTCCTTCAGAGAGCCCCAGCAGTCATAAACAATTTTGCTATTAAGTGTCTCGTATTGTTATTCTTTTTTTTTTCTCCCTTCCTGCAGAAGAGCTCATGACCATCTGTCTCTTTGTCATGCTCAGACATAACAGTGCGTGGTTGTATCTTGGCATTGTGCTCTAATGTCACGTTCTGGGGATCCCTATTTTCATTCTGTGTGTTTGGTTAGACGATGGCGATGAATTGTACCATGGTATGCATTCTCATTATTTTGCTTATTTATCTTCCTCATGCTTAAATCATATATATTTGTCTTATTTTCTACATTGTCACTGCCAAATCTGTTACTGATGTTGATGAATTTACTGAGAATCACCAAGATTGCATAGTGATTTAGATAATGAAAATGAAAAGCAAACTGAGGTAAAATAGTGCTTTGCAAAATTATTTTGTTTTGGATGAAAAAAAGAAGCAAGAAAATGAAATTGTGTGGCTATTCTGTCAAATTTTATTACTTATATCCATGATTAACAAGCCTTTCAATCCGTTGTACTGTATCTTTTGACATTTTCTCACAGAGATTGTCTTAAATGTGTTGAACTAAACAGCTTAATTTTCTGACATAATTCAGATTGCAGAACTCTAAGATAAAATTATTTTCCCCTTAAGAGAAACTTGTTAGAAATAAACAGCTTTATTTCACTTTTGCTACCTATTTCCCTGCCTTCCCCAAATACACACATTTATGTGCAAAGTTTTAAAAAGTGGTGGAACAAAAGAATGAAGTGTGTTAGAAATCATAATAAATCCATAAGAATATCTATAGTGCAAACTTTATTTCTAAATTTCAATTCAAAGAACTTTGTGAGTGAAATTACACTAGGACAATCTTAATGTTCATAATATGTTTTATCTTAGCATTTAAATGGCATGCTTGTACCCTACAAAACCATAGATTGCTAAGTCAGAAAGGAATATTTTCCTTTCCTTTACACATCGCACTTGTCTCCGCATTCCCCTTTGGATGGTTTTAATGGTTAAGAACAGCACCATTTTTGTGAGAAAAAGATAATCAAGGTAATTGATGGTTTTATGACAGACACTAAGAATTTCATGTCTTTTGTATTTGTGTTCTTCAGATAGGAAACATCATGTATTTTCCTTTCAGAGCAAGTATCTGAGGCAGTATTTTAAAGTGGAAGGCTTATCTATACGTGCAAAGCTTGATAAAGATTCAGGACAAGGAAGCCTCTAAACTAGGAGTCAGAAATTAACATGATACCTCCAAATCTTGTATTTTAGTTCATTTTTTTAGGTTTTTTAGCTTCATTAAACTTGGAATTCTCCTAGTTATATATGCTTGGGCAAGCAGAATCTTCTGGTTGGAGCATTTAAAAATCCTCTCTTATCTTGAATGATTAAAGATATTATCAGCATCGTAGAATTTCAAAAGAAATGTAAGATGTCTGAGTAGTGTCTACATGTCCATTGGCTTTCAGTTTACCACAATGAAACTATTACTGTTTGAAGGATACTTAAAATCTTTGGAACAATTTGGATCTGCCCTTATTCTAGTCATATGTTAAGATATTCTGGAAGAAAGCATATACTAAGCATAGGTGTCCTTGGTTTGAAACAAACTACATGCATATGTCACAGAAATTTGAGATATGTTATATAAATAGCAGGAAAGCATCCCTTTTACTGCTTCTTTAAAAACTCAATTCTTGGGCCAGGGATTTAGCACCACCTACCTCACAAGCATAAGGTCCAGCGTTTGATCCCTGGTACCACCAAAAAAAAAAAAAAAAAAAAAAAA